GGATTTGAACTGCCAACCTTTTGGTTAGCAGCTGAACGCTTAACCACTGCGCCACCAGGGCTCCAATTTTAGGTTAGTAGTTGAGTGCAAACAATTTGTGCCACCCAGGGACCTTTGGTATTGTATATACCCATCATCATTTCCCAAACTCTCCACCAGAAGTGTAAATTTTTTCTGAATATGTTCAGACATGTCAGGCATTGTGTCAGTACTCTCTTTTTTGGAGCCCTCTACCCTCTTGCCCCAATCTGGACTCCTGCACAGCTGTCATCTTGGCACTTCCCTTTATGATTTTCTTCAAGATTCTCTTCTCTGTTGCATACCCTCTTTCCTGAATCCCATGTTTTGCTGTTTTTTTCCCTCTTCATTTTGATGAAGCATATTCTCTTCTGGCTTCCTGAGAAAATGTGCATGAGAGGTAACATTTTTGCTGCTTCGCATGTTTGAAAATATCTTATTTATACCCCACACTTGATTCATAGTTTGTGTATGGGTAGAATTCTAGGTTGGAAATAAGTTTCCCTCAACATCTTGAAGTCGTTACTCCGTTTTCTTGAGCTTTCAGTGTTGTTAGTGAAAAGTTCTGTCATTTTGATTTCTGCATATGTTAGTTATCTATTGTTGCATAACAAATCACCCTGAAGCTTACTGGCTCGAAATAACAAACATTAATCTCACAGTTTCTGTGGGTCAGAAATCAGGTGTGACTTTGCTGGATGCCTCTGATGAGGCTGCAATCGAAGTATGGGCTGTAGTCTCATCTGAAGGCTTGACTGGAGCCAGTTTGCATCCAGACTCACTTATGTGACCCTTGACAGGCCTCGAGTCTTCACTGGCTGTTGGCTGGAGACATCAATTCCTTGCCATGTGGGCCTCTCCATAGGGCTACTAACGACATGGCAGCAGTGGCTCTGAAAGAGAGCCCAGAAAGTGTTTGTGACCCAAAAAACTTAGAACAAATTCTCTGACTGAATTTTGGAGATGATTTGGCAAAAAATGAGAAAAGCATCTAACAGTGCCTGTCTCTATAATTTCTTTTTCTACCTCTATGCCCTGTCCCTAGTAGCTCCTAGTTCTAGAGTGAAAGGTGACCTAGGATTTCCTTTTGCCCTGCCAGTTTACCACTTTCATTTGTCTGTTGGTTCATCCAGGAAGTCATTTGGATATTTATTGAGAACCTGTCTGCATGTTAGACACTAGCTAGAACTCACGTTGTTAAGCAGTGTGCTGCTGTCAGTATCCACTGCTCAGTGATGAGGGAACCTCCACAGATGTGGGTCTGGCCCATGCGCAGGCTGACCTGCCAAGGCCAGTGTCCCTTAACAGCATCCTGGCCACCCACAATGCGGCTTGTGTATGTAGGTCGTCCACACACTAGAGAAAGAGGAGAGAGGGAAATGTGGAAATCTGGGAGTTCTGTTCCTCTGGTCCCATCTTTCTAAAACAAAAACCCATTGCCATCTAGTCGATTCCAACTCCTGGTGACCTCACGTGTTACAGAGTAGCACTGTTCCGTAGGGTTTTCTTGGCCGTAATCTTTATGGAAGCAGATTGCCAGACCTTTCTTCCATGCTGCTGCTGGGTGGGTTCAGACTGCCACCCTTTAGGTTAGTAGTCGAGTGTAAACTTTTTGTACCACCCAGGGACCTCCCATCTTCCCATCATCCCCAAACTCCCATCCATTCCCAGGACCTGAATCCTCCCAACACTCCATATGGCATCCTGTTCCAGTTCCAAACCCAGGAATCCTGGGCTGAATTTGAGACCACTCACCAGATTGCAGGTATTTCTCTTTGGGAGAAGAGTGCCTTGGGTGAGACCCTAAGAAAGACACGCTGGGTTATTAATATGTAATAACACATCTTATTTATACATTAATTGAACAGTGAGGCTTCCCATGTATTTAAATTCCTCTGATTGGTGTCAAAGGCCAAATTTTTACAAATGTCAACCAAGTAGTGGGAATCTTGATAATTATGTACGTACCTGCTTCTTTAGCAATATGCATGGAACATGGTTTAAATATTACTTGATGATTCAAGGTTGTCATCAGGAGTATGAGGTCTGTTAGGTTGTAAATAAAATGATGCCCTCAGATGCTTTTGAGGTTTATAAGCCATTTACCTTTCTGCTGTTTTCTTTAGCTGAATTGACATTTTGCAATGTTTATATATTCTGCCTCTTTGCCAGCTGTTACCTTTTTGCTACTGTCAACCTACCCTGCTCTTAAATCTCTGTTGGCCAGAAAAATAACGAACAGACTTATGTCTGAAAGCTTTGAATTGAGTTTGGACTTCCGGCCCCCTCTTCCTGGAATGTTCTTTTCCTAGATCTTCTTAGCTAACTCACTCGCCTCCTTCAAGTCTTTGCTCAAGTGACTTTTTAGTGAGGCCTTCTTTGACTATTCTATTTAAAATTACAACATGTCCCCTACCCCTGTACTCTGGATGTTCCTTTCCGTTCGTAGTATTTATCACCTTCTAACATGTTTTACAGAGCTCTGGTGGTACAGTGGTTAAGAGCTTGGCTGCTAACCAAAGGTTGGCGGTTTGAATCCACCAGCCCCTCTTTGGAAACCCTATGAGGCAGTTCTCTTCTATCCTGTAGGGTTGCTGTGAGTCGGAATCAAGCTGACAGCAATGGGTTTTGGTAACGTTTTAAGGAGCCCTGGAAGTGCAATGGTTAAGTGCTCTGCTGCTAACCAAAAGGTTGGCATTTCAAACTCACCCAGTGGCTCAGCCGGAAAAAGACCTGGCAGTCTGCTCCCATAAAGAATACAGCCTAGAAAACTCTATGGGGCAGTTCTACTTTGCCACATGGGTCTGCTATGTGTCAAAAATCAACTTGACAGCACCTAACAACAATATGTGTTGTAATTTGCCTATTCATATGTGCATGATTACTGTTTGTTTCCAGTATTTTGATTCCTGCTAAATCCAACCATAAGGAGCTCTGATGGTGCAATGGGTAAAGAGTTTGGCTGCTAACCAAAAGTTTGGTAGTTCGAACCCACCAGCCAGTCCATCGGAGAAAAGACCTGGCGATCTGCTCCCGTAAAGATTACAGCCTAGGAAACTCTATGGGGCAGTTCTGCTCTGTTCTATACGGCCTCTGTGAGTCAGAATTGACTTGATGGCATATGACAACATATCTAACCATGAGCCTTGAAATCCTGCCCGGCATATAGTAGCTCTCAGGACTATCTCAGGTCACTACACTCATAAGTAACATCCAGTCAGTGAGGTGTCGTGTTATTCTACATGATGCTTTTTTAAAAAAGTTTTTAATTTTTATTGTGGTGAAATATATATAACAAAACATTCAGATATTTCTATGTGTAAATTTCAGTGACATCAATTACATGTGTTGAGGAATAGTCACCACTATCCATTTCCAAATTCTTTCATCACTTTTAACAAAGACTCTGTACCCCTTAAGCAATACCTCCCCATTTCCCCCTCCCGCATACCTCTGGTAACCCTAGTGAACATTGGTCTTTTAAGCGTTTGCTCTGGATATTTCGTACAAGTGGGATCATACCATATTTGTCCTTTTGGGTCTAATTTATTTCATTCAACATAGTGTTTTCAAGATTCATCCATGCGGTGGCATGCGTCAGAATTCATTTCTCTTCACGGCTGAATAATACTCCATTGTATGTATATACCACATCTTATTTATACCTGATGCTTTCTTGAGCCAGAAACCTCTGCCTCTCCCCACCTCACCCCAGGGGCTACCTGAGATCCCTAGCAGAAGGGATAGCAGGAAAGCATGCACAGCAGGGCCCATGTCTCTGTCCTCAGGATCAGCACGTTCTGTTTCCTGAACTCAGCCCCTAGGGAGGAGCCGGCCTGGGAACCGCAGGAGAAGGGGGCAGGACCGTTTCCTCCTGGATAGATTCCTCTGCTTCACCCCTTCTCTCCTTCAGTCTTCACCCGCTGCCAGATACTGAGGGACCAGACTTCAGAAATGCAGCTGCAAGACTCAGAGGGAGGTGCTGGGGCCTGAGGCGCCCCCTGCTGTCTAGGAGGAGCAGGGTGTCTCCAGCAGCCTCCTGCCTAGGGCAAGTGTGAGAGGGCGATGGAAGGAGCGGGGCCCTGTCTTTAGCAAGATGACCAAAGATGGACAGGATTCTTCCAGAGCAAGAAATGGAAAAGAGGAAGGGAACCCAGTACCTGGCTGATTTTTCCTAATGTTTTTGTTTTCATCTTTATTACAGTGTCAGCCAGAGTATACTGCAAGTCAGATGTCCTGAGAAATAGACTCTGATCAGAGGTGTGTGTGCAGGAAGTTTACTGGGAGGTGGTCAGTGGTCTCAGGATCAACACCTGAGAGAGAGATGCGAAAGCAGAGTTGGGCCAAGGAGAGGTTGAACTGCAGTGCATTTGTAACAGAGGCCTCAGCCAACCCCACAGGCTGCCCTGGAGCTGGGGTGCCCTTCAGAGATGTCCTGAACTGAGGCCCTTGGACCTGTGCATAACTGGATGCGGGCATTACCTTAGGTGAGGTGGCTCTGCCGGCAGTGGAACTTAGCTGTCAACTTTCACCAGCCAACACTCCTGTCTACTAAGGGAATGAATGCTCAGCCCTGAGGGGGATCTGGGTGGCATCCCACAGCATCCACTACAGAATCCATCTCTGTGCCTCTTATGCTTTCCTTACCAATTGTACTAGGCCTGTACCTGGTGGTGCAGTGGTTCAGCACTCTGCTGCTAACCAAAAGGTTGGCAGTTCAAATCCATCAGCTACTCCTTGGAAACCCTGTGGGGTAATTCTACTCTCATGTGGGGTTGCTATGAGTCAGAATCGACTCAGCAACACCCGGCAACAACAATAGGCCTGTGGAGGCAGAATTCCGTGAGCTATTACAGCATGTTATTATTCTCTTGTAGCTTAAAACGTGGGAGGTGTGAAAGAAACACATGAATATTTAAAAAATAATAGCAGATCAGGAAACATAGCAATTTTGGTAAGGCTTATTCAGTTGCAAACAGCAGAGACCCACTCAAGTTAGCTTGAACAGGTAGGGGATTATTATTCTTATTTTCTTATTTCTACCTTATGTTTTTTACTATGATACTTTAGATGAAGGTTTACAGAACAAACAAGTTTCTCATTAAACAATTAATACACATTGTTTTGTGACATTGGTTGCCAACCCCACTACATGTCAGCACTCTCCCCTTCTGGACCTTGGGTTCCCCGTTACCAGCTTTCCTGTCGATAGGGGATTATTTTAAAGATACTTATGGAACAACAGGAGTCCCTGGGTGATGCAGATGGTTAATGCCCTCAGCTGCTAACTGAAAGGTTAGAGGTTTGAGTTCACCCAGAGGTGCCTAAGAAGAAAGGCCTGGCAGTCTACTTCCAACAAATCAGCACTGAAAACTCTATGGAGCACAATTCTACTCTGGCACATGCTGGGTCGCCATGAGTTGACGGCAGCTAATTCTACGGAACAATAAGGAGCATAGGGTAATAAGGGAATTTGGAGCTATCATAGGTCAGACCTAGAAACCAGAGCTGGAAGGGAGCCCTGGATTCATGATGGTTCGAGAGCACTCATAGCACTACTACCAACTCTCCAAGTTTTTCCTTATTTTCAGTACAGATTCCCAAGAAGTATTATTTGGTACAGATTAGCTTTTCTAGCAAAGACATAGGTTCTTGGTTATAGATTAGTGCCCTTTGGGTTAAGTGTCCGTAAGTGGACTATAAGGAGGGAAGACAGAGATGCAGAAATACGGCCAGCTCTAAGCAGCAGGGAAGGAGCCCTGGTGGCATAATGGTTAAGTGCTCGGCTGCTAACTGAAAGGTCGGTGGTTCGAATCTACCAGCGGGTCCACAGGAGAAAAGACCTGGCAAGCTATTTCTGAAAAGATGACAGCCTAGGAAACCCTATGGGGCAGTTCTGCTCTGTCCTAGAGGGTCACTGTGTTGAAATCGACTCAGTGGCACACAACAATGACAAGCAGCAGGGACTGTGTGGTGAGGGGAGGTGCCGGGTTTGCTGTATCTTAGTACAGTAGCATAAGCATGTTTACCTCTTTAAATACATTAAGATTTTAGATGTGAATGCTTGAAAAAAAGATCAGTTCTCCATTTACTTGTTTACTGACTGCCACACTATTAATTCTTACCTTGCTCGTGTTTTTCAGATCCGTTTGTCTTCATTTGTGTCTGCATGACTGGGATTAAAATCTACTACTATTATATTCGTGTTAGTTTCTCTCTACATTTTTAATGGTTCTTGTTTTTTATATCCTATCTGTATTATTTTTGTGGTTTACACATTCACTCTTGTTATGTTCCTGTCACTAACAGCACTTTTTTAAAATCATTATATAATGACTTTCTTAGTGCCTTTCACCTTAATTCTTTCTGAAATTAATATTGCAGCCTGTGAATTTTTTTCCGCATTTAATTGAGGGAAAAATTTTCTTATTCATCTTACAGCCATCCATGTGGGTATTCCAATTAATTTATGGTATCCACAGGCAATTTAAGTATTTAGTTAATTTATTTAAGTATAGCTTTTTAAAAATCTCTAACCTGTGTTAGAGATTTGCCTTCAAGTCAAGTTTGGAGTCAAGTTATCGTATTAGTGATTTTGCAAAGATACCAAGACTCTGTACACATCTTTCTGTTGACTTATTACAGGAACAGAAATTTGACAAGACACTCCTTTCCCTCTGAAGATCTTGTGGTTGTCCCAGGTCTTTGGACTTTATACCCCTGAACAACCCAGAAGTCACTAATTTATACCCTTTAAATGTAACCTAAATGATTATTGGATTGCTTGCAGAATCTATTCTTCTCTCTTTTATTTAAATGTTTTATGAAAACATGTCTTGGAATGCACACATCCAAAAAGAAGAAAGGACCAAAATCAAAACATTAATCCTACAGCTTGAACAATTAGAAAGAGAGCAGCAAAAGAAGCCCACGGGCACCTGAAGAAAGGAAATAATAAAAATTAGAGTGGAAATAAATGAAATGGAGAATAGAAGAACAATTGAAAGAATGAACAAGACCAAAAACTGGTTCTTTGAAAAGATCAACAAAATCAATAAACCAGTGGCCAGACTGACAAAAGAAAAACAGGGGAGGAAGCAAATAACCCAAATAAGAAATGAGATAGGTGCTATCACAGCAACGCAACTGAAATGAAAAGAATCATAGCAGAATACTATGAAAAATTGTACTCCAATAAATTTGAAAACCTATAGGAAATGGACAAATTTCTATAAACACACTACCTGCCTAAGCTAACAGAAACTGAGGTAGAACAACTAAATAAACCTATAACAAAAGAAGAGATTGAAGAGATAATTTAAAAACTCCCAACAACAAAAAAAAGCCCTGGCCCTGATGGCTTCATTAGAAAATTCTACCAAACTTTCACAGAAGACCTAACATCAATACTACTAAAGGTATTTCAGAGCATAGAAAAGAATGGAATACTCTCAAACTCATTCTATGAAGCCAGCATAACCCTGATAACAAAACCAGGTAAAGACACCACAAAAAAAGAAAATTACACACCAATATCCCGCATGAACTTAGACGCAAAACTCTTCAACAAAATTCTAGCCAACAGACTTCAACAACATATCAAAAAACAAAATTCACCATGACCCAGTGGGATTCATACCAGGTATGCAGGGATGGTTCAACATTTGAAAAACAATCAATGTAATCCATCTCATAAATAAAAGACGAGAACCACATGATCTTATCTATCGATGCAGAAAAGGCATTTGACAAAGTCCAGCACCCATTCATGATAAAAACTCTCAACAAAATAGGAATAGAAGGGAAATTCCTCAACATAATAAAAGGCATTTATACAAAGCCAACAGCCACCATCATCCTAAATGGAGAGAGTCTGAAAGCATTCCCCTTGAGAACGGGAACCAGACAAGGATGCCTTTTATCACCACTCATTCAGCGTTGTGCTGGAGGTCTTAGCCAGAGCAATAAGGGAAGAAAAAGAAATAAAGGGCATCCAAATTGGTAAGGAAGAAGTAAAAGTATCCTTATTTGCAGATGATATGATCTTATACACAGAAAACCCCAAAGAATCCACAAGAAAACTATTGGAACTAGTAGAAGATTTCAGCAAAGTATCAGGATAGAAGATAAACATACAAAACTCAGTTGGATTCCTCTGCACCAACAAAGAGAACGTTGAAGAGGAAATCATCAAATCAATACCATTTACAATAGCCCCCAAGAAGATAAAATAAATACTTAGGAATACATCTAACCAGAGACGTAAAAGACCTATACGTTGAAAACTACAAGATACTACTGCAGGAAACCAGAAGAGACCTGCATAAGTGGAAAAACATACTTTGCTCATGGATAGGAAGACTCAACATTGTGAAAGTGTCAGTTCTACCTAAAGCAATCTACATATACAATACAATCCTAATCCAAATTCCAATGACATTTTTTAACGAGATGGAGAAACAAATCATCAACTTCATATGGAAAGGGAAGAGGCCCTGGATAAGTATAGAATTACTGAAGAATAACAAAGTGGGAGGCCTCACACTACCTGATTTTAGAACCTATTATACCACCACAGTACTGAAAACAGCCTGGTACTAGTACAACAACAGATACATAGACCAATGGAACAGAACTGAGATCCAGACGTAAATTCATCCACCTATGAACAGCTGATATTGACAAAAGGCCCAAAGTCCGTTAAATGGGGGAAAAGACAGTCTGTTTAACAAATGGTGCTGGCAGAACTGGATATCCGTCTGCAAAAAAATGAA